TYTRYTRYMCCTTRYWDCYADTTAYTCTTGGCCCTTGTTCCAGATGGATGTTAAAAATGCCTTCCTCAATGGAGACTTGCAGGAAATAGTCTACATGCAGTTGCCTCCTGGATTTTATGATGCAGAAACAGGAAAGAAGGTTTGCCAGTTGAATAAAGCCTTGTATGGAGTAAAACAGTCCCCCAGAGCTTGGTTTGATAGATTCAGACAAGCCCTTGGAAAATTCGGTTATGTGCAGGCCTAGTCAGACCATACATTGTTCATTAAGAGAGTGGATTCTTCCTTGACCTTGCTTGCTGTATATGTGGATGATATTGTAGTGACAAGGAATGATAACAGTGAGATTGAGTCTCTTAAACAACTCCTTCATCAAGAGTTTGAGGTAAAAGATCTGGGAGAGCTACGATACTTCTTGGGTATTGAGGTAGCTAGGTCTAAACATGGGATTTTTGTTTCTCAAAGAAAGTATGTTCTTGACCTGTTGGAAGAAACTGGAGAGTTAGGTGTTAAGCCTGCAAACACCTATTGAACAAAATCACAAGATCAGTGCAGAGGGTGGAGAGCCTCTTGAAGATAAAGCTATGTTCCAACGTTTGGCTGGAAAACTCCTCTATCTTTCTCTTACACGACCGGACATCAGTTATGCAGTCAGTGTTGTCAGTCAGTATATGCACTCTCCTAGAACCACTCACCTACTTGCAGTTGAGAGGATATTAGCATATTTGAGGAGGTGCCCAGGTAGAGGTATACTATTCAAGAATAATGGTCGAATGAAGATAGAGGTTTACACAGATGCTGATTGGGCTGGGAGTGTTAATGATATAAGGTCTACCTCTGGATATTGTGCTTTTGCAGGAGGTAACCTTGTCTCTTGGAGGAATAAGAAACAAAGTGTTGTTTCTTGTTCCAGTGCTAAAGCTGAATATAGGTCCATGGAAAATGGTGTGGCTGAAATCCTATGGTTGAAATCACTATTTGAGGAGTTGGGTTGCTTATGAGAAGCCCTTAATGTTGTACTGTGATAATTAGGCTGCTATTAATATAGCCCATAATCTAGTACAGCATGACAGAACTAAGCATATTGAAGTTGACCGACATTTTGTTAGAGAAAGGATTTCACCTCAAGAAGTGTGTCTTCCATATATCACCTCCAACATGCAGCTCACAGATCTTCTCACCAGAGCTATTCCAAGGAAGAATTTAGAGGCAGACCTATGCAAGTTGGGAATGACAAATATATATTCCTAACTTGAGGGGGAGTATAAAGAGCACCGATGTAGACCCCACTGTGTTCGTATGGTAGTATTATTTCAGTTAGTTATGATAGTGTATTAGTTGGTAGTTATTTCAGTTTTTTATTATTAGTTTTCTTTTATTCTTTTTGCCATGTAAGCAATAAGGGCAATTCATCCCTTTTATAGTTAGTCAAGCATTTATATAAATCATAACAGTGGGTCGGCAGTTGTTACGACCCTCTCTCTCCTTTTCTGAATTTCTCTTCATGTACTTCTCTTCTTCTCCTCTTCAAATTAGTATTTGTTTCTTTTTAAAACCAAGACAGATACCTTGATCAAATATGATCTCTGATTCTTCCTGGTCACCGGATAATTCTCCAAGAATCTTTCACCTTCTTGGGCAGTCTTCAGTACTCTAGTAACCTCTAAGAACCAGGCATCTACTGCAGAGGTCTTGATCTAATGGATTTTCATGTAGCTGACCAGATCAGGCTTACATGAAAACCCTAGTTTTTCTCGCCAATAGCTCTGATACCAACTTGAAGAAAGCTAGCAGATTCCTGTCTTACTGCAATTTAGAAAAGAAAAGGAAAGAAAAGAACTAGGCTTTGAAGAGAAGAAGGGAAGAGGGAGAGAAGAGAAGAGAGGAGAAAGGGGTTCGGTTGGTTAATTCTACCGCCCCATGAATTCCATTATATAGTTTAGTTTCCTTACAAGAATAGGAGATAAAAAAGATAAATTCTAGTCCTATTAGAATAAAACAAATCATAACATAGGATAAGGCAAGCCGGCCCAACTTAAAAAAGAATTAAAATAACTAAGTGTGGGTATGGAACCACACACACTAGAGCCTAAGTGTGGGTATGGAACCTCACACTCGTGGCTACTAACTATTTCTACAGTTTGTAATTTGAAGAAAGCTTTGTATGGTCTAAAACAATCTCCAAGGGCATGGTTTGATCGATTCAGACTTGCTTTGGAAAAGCTTTGGTTATGTTCAAGCCCAGTTTGACCACACTCTTTTCATTAAGAAGAAAGGATCTACTTTGACTCTCCTAGCGGTGTATGTTGATGACATTGCTGTGACAGGAAGTGATTTATGAAATTAATTCTCTTAAGCAACTGTTTAATCAAGAATTTGAAGTAAAGTATCTAGGTGAGTTGAGGTATTTCCTTGGGATTGAAGTGGCAAGGTCTAAGCATGGCATTTTTAATACCCAGATGAAGTATGTTCTTGATCTCTTGGAAGAAACAGGAAAATTGGGAGCTAAGCCTACAGATACACCCATTGAGCAAAGTCAGAAGATAAATGTAGAAGATGGTGAGCCTCTTGAAGATAAAGGTATGTATCAACGGCTTGTAGGAAGACTTCTCTACCTATGTCTGACTTGCCCTAACATTTCTTATGCTATCACTTTTGTTAGTCAGTACATGCGCTCTCCCAAGACCCCTCACCTCCTTGCTGTTGAGAGGATTTTAGCCTACCTGAAAAGGTTTCCAAACCAAGGTATACTTTTTAAAAATAAAGGACATATGAAAATATAAGTATACACTGTTGTAGATTGGGCAAGTTGTATTGATGATAAGAGATCTACCTCAAGGTATTGTGCCTTTGTTGGAGGAAATCTAGTCTCTTGGAGGAGCAAGAAACAAAATGTTGTTGCTCACTCCAGTGCTAAAGCCAAGTACAGGTCTATGGCTAATGGTGTTGCTGAAATATTATGGCCAAAATCACTCCTTACAGAATTGGGAATTGAGTTTGAAAGACCTTTGATGTTGTATTGTGATAACCAGGCAGCCAGTAACATTGCTCACAACCCAATACAGCATGATAGAACCAAACACATTGAAGTTGACAGACATTTCATCCGAGAGAAAGTTGCCTCTCAAGAAGTATGCCTTATGTTGCCACTAATATCCAGCTGATGTCTTCTCCAAGGCAGTCAACAAAATCAAGCTTGAGACAGATTTAAGCAAGTTGGGAATGATAAATATATTTTCCCAACTTGAGGGGGAGTGTAGAGAAAATGATTGACCAGCTTGTGGTCCCACCTCTTTATATGTTTCCTTTTGATTATATTTCTGCTAGAATGTTCTTTTCTGTTGTTTCTAGTGACAGGGGTATTCCTGTCATTGTACCTCTTTTATTGTAAGCCTAATATGAATAGCACTTGGGGCGGCAGACTAGACATAACAGTTTAAACCCCTTTTCTCTCTATTCTTTCTTTCTCCTCTCTTCTTCCTTTCTCTTCTCTTCTCTTCATCTCTGTTTTTCCCTCTTTGTTTCTGAATTCTCCTTGCTAAACAGGTCTGAACCTCATCGATTTCAAACAACTGAAACTTAGAGATAGGATGAGATGAAACAGAGGCTAAGGAGTACTACAAAGAGGATAGTAATCTATAAGAAAGGTGTTCAGATATGCAGTGAGTAGTACATTTTCTCTTACCTTTTTGAATAGAAATGGGAAAGCCAAGATCTGGATCTATTGTCTCTTCAGTAATTAGTGGAACAGAAGGCTCTAATGATGATGTGGGAACAACTTGCTCATGTCTATACTTGTGCTTTTGATACCTCTAAAAGGCAGAGCAATGAGAAACCATAGGAGGATTAAGGGATGGAACAGAAGGTAAAGAAGGCTCAACAACTAGAGGAACAAAGTAAGACTCAACTAGAGTAGGAGAAGAACAAATAGACTCAACAAGAGTTGGGACAAGAAGAGGAATATCAAACAACTTAACAAGAAGAGAGTAGACTTAGCAAATGTGGCATCCATGGAAATGAATCGGGTGACACTAGTAGGATCATAACAGCAATAACCCTTCTGTGAAAAGGCATATCTAAGAACGATGCACTTTCTAGTCTTGGGTTCAAAACTTATGTCCCTAGGAACTAGGAATATCGACATAGCAAGTACAACCAAAGACACAAGAGAAGATAAAAATGTCTTAATTAAGGAAAAGAAAACTAAAGGGTGACTTAAAATCTAGAACCCGAGATGGTATACGATTAATCAAAAAAGTTGTAAGGGCAACATCACCCCAATACTTTAATGGAACATGGGGTGCAAATAAGGTGCTCCTAGCAACATAAATAATGTGGCAATTTTTCCTTTCAGCCAATCCATTCTGTTGTGGCATATAGTCATAAGAACAATGATGAAGAGAAGTTTAGAGCAAGAAGAAGGGAGAAGAGAAAGAAAGAGAGGGCTTAGTGAAAAAAGAATCACAATTCTCTCCAGTTGTATTATGCTAATTCTAATTGCAATTAAGTACAAATTACAAGATTACCTTTAATAGGGTGGTTGTGGTTGTATAAATAAACATAGGCAAATATCATAGGCCCAATAAGAAAAAGCCCAATAGCATAAAATAAATGAAAAATAATGGAACAATGACCAGCCTAACAACTCAACAAAAAGAGATAGATTTGTTAATAGCTTGTAGCCTAATTTGATCTCTCATACTACTCACTACAACAGCAAGCAAAACAAAATAATGATTCACAATGAAAACTTGTTCCATTAAAAGCATGCTAGAAACTTAGATACCATTGTATATTTCAGCAACATACTCAATTAAATATAACAACTATAAGATCAATAAGGGACTAATCCTTGACATGATACTAAGTTATTTTATTAGAATTATACAAATCAATTCAGATTACACACTTACGGGGATGACAGAATGTCCTCAAATTTGTAATTTACAAAGTATGCCAATAGGCCCAGTATAGTTGCAACATCCAACCGTACCTATATTTGATCAACAAGAATTATGAAGAGATCCATTAGAGGATACCATCTACAACATATAAAGAATTAGCCTTCTAATAATTATGGAGGTTTCCAGTAACTACATATTGTACAACTTTTAGAGTACAACATACTGTAGATTGCACTTGCCAGATCAGATGAGAATATATATATATATATATATATATATAGGTCTATTCTTTATTTTTTCTTTTTTATTTTTGGAAAAGGAAATGTATATTGTATTAATATCAAAAGATATAACAAGCCACCCTTGTACAAAGAGGATATGTACACCAAGCCAAAAGGATAACTAATAGCTCCTGAAAAAGTCTGTAGACAAAAAAAATGGCCTAAATCCCCACAAAAACTCTATGAATGGAGAGCTAATCCCTAAGAAAGTCAAAAGATGAATTAATCACTAGCTCAACAAAGATTTTTCTTATATTCAAATACCCTAGCATTCCTCTCTTACCATATTGCTCATGTGATGCCTAAAGGAAGCAAAGACCAAGTAGATCTACCTTTCTTGTTCATGCCTTTAACATGTCACTTCATAAATAGCGAGAACCACAAGAGTAGTAATGCTCTCTAGTAATGGAACCATATTTTGCTTGAGAACTCACAATGCAAAGGGCAACTAAGTGCATGAGGCTCCCACCAATGCAGGGTCTAGTGAGGGACAGATGTACACTTCCTTACCCTTGCACATACAGAGAGGTTTCCAAGATTTGATCCCTGGTCACCCAAGTAGCAATGGAGCAACCCAACCATTGCGCCAAGGCCTACCCTACTTGAAAGAAGAAAGGGGAGACTTTGGAGAGGCAGACAAGGAATAAATAAGAGGTTTGAGAAGTCAGCTTGAGGACTGCCTACATAAAGAGGAAATTAGCTGGAGGCAAAAATCTAGATGTAAATGGCTACAAGAGGGAGATAGAAATACCAGTTTCTTTCATTCTTTGGCAAATGGCAGGAGAAGGAGAAATTCTGTCTCCAAACTGGAGATAGATGGAGTTGAGTTAACACAACAAGATGAGATTGCAGGAGCCTTTGTGGGACACTTTAAATAATTTCTAGGAAGACCTATAAGTAGGGGGTGTGGTTAAAAGGATTGGATTGGCTAGATGTAGGAAATGATAACAGGAAAAGGTTGGAGAGAAGGTTTGACTTGGAAGAGATTAAGGAGGTTGTTTTCTTTATGGATAGAACAAAAGATCTAGGACAGGATGGCTTCACAGTGGCTTTTTACCAAGACTGTTGGGATACGATGAAAGATGACCTTTTGTTGGTTTTTTAGGACTTTCATAGGAGAAGAGTGGTTAACCCGGGTGTGAATTCCACCTTTCTAGCCTTGGTCCCAAAAAAGAGAGGTGCATTGCATCCAAAGGATTTCAGGCCAATCAGCTTGGTAAATAGTTTGTATAAGATCCTTGCAAAGGTGTTCTCTCTGAGATTGAAGGAAGTGTTGCCTATTATTATCTCACCAAATCAAGGAGCTTTTGTGAGTGGAAGACAAACAACTGATCAAATTCTAATTGCTAATGAGAGTGTGGAGAATTTCAAGAAGGATAGAAAGAAGGGAGTGGTTTATAAGTTGGATCTGGAAAAGGCCTATGACTTGGTGGAATGGGAATTTGAGGAAAGTTATGACCAAATTTGGATTTGGGGCTAGATGGTGCAAATGGATTATGGGGTGTGTTCGTAATTGTCATTACTCGGTACTAGTGAATGGGACAATGGTTGACTTCTTCCCAACCATTAGGGGTGTAAGACAAGGAGACCCCCTGTCTCCCTTCCTGTTCACACTGATTGCTGATGTTCTGGGGAAATTAATTTACAAAGTAGATTCTAGGGGTCTTATTAGAGGCTGGAGAGTTGGAAGGGAGGATACCCCCCTCACCCATCTACAGTTTGCAGATGACACGATTCTGTTCTGTGAAGGGGGAAATATGAGGTATATAAGGAACTTGAAATTGGTGATACAACTCTTTGAACAAATGTCAAACTTGAAGGTGAACTTTGAGAGACGTTGTGTAGTGGATGTGAATATAGAGGAAGGTGAAATCAGGGGAGACTACAGAAGTGCTAGGGTGTGAAGTCTCAGAGTGGCCTTTGAATTATTTGGGGTTGCCATTGGGTGATAACCCAAAGAGAGAAAGCTTCTGGAATCYGGTGGTGGAAAGATTTGAAAAGAAACTTGTCTCTTGGAAAAGGAATTACCTCTCTATGGGTGGGAGGATAATACTGATTAAGGCTACTCTAGCAAATTTACCTATTTATTTAATTTCATTGTTCAAAATCCCGGTAAAGGTTTCCAATAGATTGGAAAAGATGATGAGAGACTTCCTTTGGGAGCCAGGAGAGGAGAAAAAGGATCATAGAGTAGGTTGGGAGGTGGTGACCAGGAGTAAAAATAGTGGTGGTTTGGGGCTCGGGAACATTAAAAAGGAATCTGGCCCTTCTGGGAAATGGTTGTGGAGATTCCCACTAGAGAAGGAGAAATTATGGGCCAAGATAGTGGTCAGCATACATGGGCTGGAGCTAAATGGATGGGATGTTGGAATCCGAGCTAGGACTACATGTGCTTCACCTTGGAAAGCCATTCATGAGTTGTTACCAGTTTTTTCCCCTCTTATCAGGTATGACTTGAATTCAAGTAATGCTATAAAATTCTAGGAACAAACTTGGGTGGGGGATGCCCCTCTAAAGGACCAGTTTACTTCTTTGTATGCCCTCTCTAACCTTAAAAATGAGTCAGTTTCCTCCTTCATAACCCCCTCTTCTTCCACTTTTGGGTTTGGGTGGAATTTGGGTTTGAGAAGGGCTATGAAAGACTCAGACCTTGACAGCATTTCGAGTCTCCTTCAGCTTCTTGACAATATTTTCTTAGACCCTGCTAAGGTGGACTCTAGAATTTGGACTCCCACCCCCTCTGGTTCTTTCTCCTATGCCTCTTTCTTCAAAGTTTTAAGCCAATTCACCAGTCCTATAGCCCTCCCTTTCCCTGTTCATTAGGTTTGGTGCAGACCAATCCCTCCTAGGGTTGGTAGTTTTTGTTGGGAAGCCTTTCTAGAAAGATTCAACACTGGTGATCTGCTCCAAAAGAAGAGACCCAATACTTGTTTGTCCCCTCACTGGTGTGTTCTTTGTAAAGCTGATGGGGGGACGGGTTTTCACCTACTGGTGTCTTGCCAATATGCATAGTCTATTTGGGAGTGGGCTCCCTCCCTATTTGGGTGTAGTTGGAACCCTCCTCCATCAAATTTGTAAAATCTGTTTTCACCTTCGTTTTTCAGGTGGCACATGAAAAGGGGCAGGATTATGTGGAGAGGTAAGGGTTATGGTTTGCTAGTCCTTATGGGAAGAAAGAAATGCCAGGATTTTCTCGAAAGTAGAGAGAAGTACTGATGAATTGAGGGCTTTGATCCTTATAAGGGTAGTATAGTGGATGATATCACTAGAGCTATTCACATATTATACAATGGATGACATGTTGAGGAATTGGGGTGATATTGCTAACAGTACCCAGACCAAAACAGTGATGAATGTGTCTTGGACTCCCCTCCCCCCC